TATATATATATATATATATATATATATATATATATATATATATATATATATATATAAATATAAATATAAATATAATATATATATATATATATATATATATATATATATATATATATATATATATATATATATATATATATATATATATATATATATATATATATATATAAAGCCTATTTATTTGTGTGTATGTCCGTATGTGTATTTTTAATCATCGCGTGATTTAGGTATGAGCTATAGCTTAGTGCCTCAATGTCTTAAGGGACCCAATAAGTCTTTTTTTTTAAATCACGGTGGCCATTTTGTCATCGAACTTTTTTTTAAACATTTATTTTTAGTTTCATTTTTTGTCGACAAATAATTTGTTTTAAGCTGCAAATATATGGCACCGACATATAATATCGGTACCTACTTGGCGCCGCCACCATGAAAATTGCTTTTACGTATTCAAGTTAAAATTATGTCCTAGTTTAATATATGCTAGTATAAAGTTGACTGCAAACGTTTTTTTTTTTGTTGAATCTGCATGTGTGTGTGTGTGTGTGTGTACTTTGGGATTTTATTTCTACGTGTTGTTTTTTTCTTTTTGTGCATGTGCGCGTATATGAGTATGCTAGGTGGAATGTGTGTGTGTATCTGCATCAGAGGCGTAGCTAGGGGGGACGGGGGGCGGACACCATTTAAGGGGGTGACACCAAGTCAAAAAAATAGTAAAATATATAGAGAAAAATGATAATTCCACTTAATTAAGTGATTAATTCAAGTGTTTAATCAACGTTTGAGGGGGGGGGGGGCTGGGTTGCAAGTCGAAAGTCTGAGGGGGGGGGGGGTTGCAATTTGGAAATTGAAAGTTTGTTCCCGGAAGGGTCGCTACGCCTCTGGGGCGTGACACCATTAAGTGCCGCACCTGGTGACACTCGACCTCGCTACGCCACTGATCTGCATCATGAGTTTATACTTTCCAATTAAATACTTTGATTAACTACATCAAGCCCGTATCCCCCACCCCAAGTACTAGTTGAATTAACTAACCCAAGCCCATAAACACCCCACCCCCAGTACTAGTTGGATTAACTACCCCAGGCCCGTATCCCCCACCCCCAGTACTGGTTGGATTAACTAAATCAGGCCCTTATCCCCCACCCCCAGAACTAGTTGGATTAACTAAATCAGGCCCGTATCACCCACCCCCAGTACTAGTTGGATTAACAAAATCAGGCCCGCATACCCCACCCCCAGTACTAGTTGGATTAACTACTCCAGTGCTGTTTCCCCCACCCCCAGTACTTCTCCCTGAACCAAATTTCTCAAGCCAGTAACTCACAAGTGACCGAAAATTGCCTCTGCCCCGCCAGGTGACACCCCTCCCCTCATGGCAAACAAAATTCAAGTCAGCAAACTTGTCTCGGGTCCCAATACATTTTTTTTGTTAAGCTTGTTTTAAAAGGTTAGTCTGGTCAATTGCGAAAGCATCAAATAAATATATAAATAAATAAACAAGTTGAAAACAAAATTTTCTTTAGGAAAAGATCTCAAACAGAGTATCTGAGATGCAATTTATCCAGCAAAACGTCTCAGAAAGTTATGTGAAGCAAAATATCTCATGAAAATTATCTCAGATAAATAACATCAGACGCAATATCTCAGGAATATTATCTGAGATGAAATATTTCAGATACAATTTATTAGATACAATTACTTACTATATTAATCCACAACTCCACCATACCTACATGTGGGGCTTAAGGCAGCAAAACAACTCCACCATGCCTACATGTGGGGCATAAGGCAAAAACACAACTCCAGCATGCCTATGTGTCGGGGCATAAGGCAGCAACACAACTCCACCATGTCTACATGTTGGGCATAAGGCAGCAACACAACTCTAGCATGCCTATGTGTCGGGGCATAAGGTAGCAACACAACTCCAGCATGCCAACATGTGGGGCTTAAGGCAGCAAAACAACTCCACCATGCCTACATGTGGGGCATAAGGCAGCAACACAACTCCAGCATGCCTATGTGTCGGGGCATAATGCAGCAACACAACTCCAGCATGCCAACATGTGGGGCATAAGGCAGCAAAACAACTCCACCATGCCTACATGTGGGGCATAAGGCAAAAACACAACTCCAGCATGCCTATGTGTCGGGGCATAAGGCAGCAACACAACTCCACCATGTCTACATGTGGGGCATAAGGCAGCAACACAACTCTAGCATGCCTATGTGTCGGGGCATAAGGTAGCAACACAACTCCAGCATGCCTATGTGTCGGGGCATAAGGCAGCAACACAACTCTACCATGCATACATGTGGGGCATAAGGCAGCAAAACAACTCCACCATGCCTACATGTAAGGCATAAGGCAAAAACACAACTCCACCATGCCTACATGTGGGGCATAAGGCAGCAACACAACTCCAGAATGCCTATGGGTCGGGGCATAAGGCAGCAACACAACTCCACCATGCCTATGTGTCGGGACATAAGGCAGCAACGCAACTCCAGCATGCCTATGTGTCGGGGCATAAGGCAGCAACACAACTCCACCATGCCTACATGTGGGGCATAAGGCAGCAACACAACTCCACCATGTCTACATGTGGGGCATAAGGCAGCAACACAACTCTAGCATGCCTATGTGTCGGGGCATAAGGCAGCAACACAACTCCAGCATGCCAACATGTGGGGCATAAGGCAGCAAAACAACTCCACCATGCCTACATGTGGGGCATAAGGCAAAAACACAACTCCAGCATGCCTATGTGTCGGGGCATAAGGCAGCAACACAACTCCACCATGTCTACATGTGGGGCATAAGGCAGCAACACAACTCTAGCATGCCTATGTGTCGGGGCATAAGGTAGCAACACAACTCCAGCATGCCTATGTGTCGGGGCATAAGGCAGCAACACAACTCTACCATGCATACATGTGGGGCATAAGGCAGCAAAACAACTCCACCATGCCTACATGTAAGGCATAAGGCAAAAACACAACTCCACCATGCCTACATGTGGGGCATAAGGCAGCAACACAACTCCAGAATGCCTATGGGTCGGGGCATAAGGCAGCAACACAACTCCACCATGCCTATGTGTCGGGACATAAGGCAGCAACGCAACTCCAGCATGCCTATGTGTCGGGGCATAAGGCAGCAACACAACTCCACCATGCCTACATGTGGGGCATAAGGCAGCAACACAACTCCACCATGTCTACATGTGGGGCATAAGGCAGCAACACAACTCTAGCATGCCTATGTGTCGGGGCATAAGGCAGCAACACAACTCCAGCATGCCAACATGTGGGGCATATGGTAGCAACACAACTCCACCATGCCTACATGTGGGGCATAAAGCAGCAACGCAACTCCACCATGTCTACATGTGGGGCATAAAGCAGCAACACAACTCCACCATGCCTATGTGTCGGGGCATAAGGCAGCAACACAACTCCAAAATGTCATCCAACAATTTTTTAAACTAAATGTCACTTAGCCACTGTTTAACTAAATGTCACAAAAACATCATCATTTAATCACGCTCAATAAAGCCAGTTTATTTTTTTTTTATTTTTTAACCCCAATAAAAACAAAGTTTGTTTCCTGACATAGCAGTCTATTGGTCTGATAAATATAATAACACGTACATTCTCAAACTGTTCAAATAACATTTTCATTTAGACATAGCAGTCTATTGGTCAGATAAATATAATAACACGTACATTCTCAAACTGTTCAAATAACGTTTTCATTCAGACATAGCAGTCTATTGGTCTGATAAATATAATAACACGTACATTCTCAAACTGTTCAAATAACGTTTTCATTCAGACATAGCAGTCTATTGGTCTGATAAATATAATAACACGTATATTCTCAAACTGTTCGAATAACATTTTCATTCAGACATAGCAGTCTATTGGTCTGATAAAGATTATAACACATACATTCTTAAACTGTTCAAATAACGTTTTCTTTCAGGCATAGCAGTCTATTGGTCTGATAAAGATAATAACACATACATTCTCAAACTGTTCAAAAAACGTTTTCTTTCAGACATAGCAGTCTATTGGTCTGATAAAGATTATAACACATACATTCTCAGAGTGTTCAAATAAAGTTTTCTTTCAGACATAGCAGTCTATTGGTCTGATAAAGATTATAACACATACATTCTCAACCTGTTCAAATAACGACACGAATGTCTTGTTCCGAATGTAAAGATCTTCATAACTGAGGACCAAACCATTAAGTAAAAAAAAAATAAAAAATTGGCAATAACAGGCATATTAAGTGAAAACTGAGTATTTGAGACGTTGAACAGTATAGATATTGCCACGGCCTTTTTGTACTGTCAACTTCATGGCACAAACTCAAGACAAATACCAACCGCATCACTGTTGTGTTATTACATATTAAGGCCTGATAGATAACACCAAACAACTCTTGTCCTGGTAATTTACACAATTTTATCGATTCAAAGATACAGCAGCTTCACAACCAAAACCACGCCATTTCTTCTTCCCTCTTCCTCTCTACTTCCACTTTCTTTTGCGCATGCCCACCCACAATATATTTTAGATTTATATCGCCTTTTTACAACTCCACTCGAAACATACATTCAGCCTACATTTGACTGTTACAGATATGTGTTCGTATTAGAGTATGTATTGATCGGTTAAAGAAAGCATCAAACTATAGACGGAAACTAGTTATCGTTATAGACAAAAACTAGTTATCGTTATAGACAGAAGCTAGTTATCGTTATAGACAGAAACTAGTTATCGTTATAGACAGAAACTAGTTATCGTAATTGTGCTTAAAACGGGCAACAAAACTCGTAGAGTTCATTCAGAATCTTTAGCACCAGGAGAGTCCATTTAGACAGTTCAGCCGAAAGCTAACCTAGCTAGTCACGCCTCTGATAATGACTTACTTAATCTGATAATGACAAAGTCACACCGCTGATCGCCCACCACTCGCCCACTATATAAACACTTGCATTTCAACACGTCACAAGACCAAGTCCAGTTGAGGAATTCATCAATACATCATCAACACATCAGACCCCAGACTCTAGCCAGAAATATTCCAGCAGTTGCCAGATCAAATGTCTCCTAAACTTTTTATTCTCTGCGTTATGGCAATGCTGGTCAAAAATTCTATTCCAGAGAACAGTAAGTTGAGCGATTTTATTTGAATCCCGCGTTCGTTGGATGCGACTTAGAGCATTTCTTCCTCTTCTTCGTACTCATTTGTAATGTTAGGCGTGATTACAGCTGGTTCCACAGCAACCACAACACTTTTCTGTATTAGTTGGGGGGAGGGGAGGCTCTAGCTAATTATACACCGCCCACAACACTATTCTATATATTGAGAGAAGGGGGAATTCTAGCCATTTACACCCCGTCCCCCTACAACACCATTGTTTTATATTACTTGGGGGGGGGGGGTTCTAGCAAGTTATACACCGCCAACAATTCTGTTTAATGTGATCTCCCACAGGTTACACTTGCCATCTACAAAAGATTGTAGGGCCGTGTAGGGCAAAACTACCCCGATACTACTATAATATGGAATCGGGCCACTGCGAAAAATTTTATTACGGCGGCTGTGGAGGGAATGGAAATAATTTCAGAAACAGGAAACAGTGCGAGTTTGTCTGCGAATCTATCGGTAGGTCGCTGTCTATGTCATGTGTGCGTGTGTTCATGCGTATAAACGTGTACGTGTGCATGTACGTGTAGGTGTACATGTATGTGTATATGTATGCGTGTGTATGTGTGCATGTGTGGTAATGTGTATGTGTGGTAATGTTGGGGGTGTTGGTGAGTGTGGGGTTACGTGTGTGGGTGTGAGTGGAAATGAGCGGGTGTAGGAGCTGGTGTTGGTGTGTGTGTGTGTGGTAATGTGTATGTGTGGTAATGTTGGGGGTGTGGGTGGGTGTGGGGTTACGTGTGTTGGTGTGAGTAGAAATAAGCGGGTGTAGGAGCTGGTGTTACTGTGTGTGTGTGTGTATGAGCGTTGGCGTCGGAATAGACTTGCATGTTCTGAAGCTGTAGCTATTATTGTTTCTCTTGTTTTTGTTGTTGTAGTTTGGTTGTATGTATAATACAAAATGCACGTGATTATTATTTTAACATATTGATCACACTTCAAAAATTTCTAGACCCTATCTGCTCGCTTCCACCGGACGGAGGAGACTGTGAAGCCAGTTTTGAGGCTTATTATTATGACCAGAAATCTAGAAAGTGCAAGCAATTTACCTACGGCGGCTGTGACGGAAATGAGAATAGGTTTGACAGCAAACAAGAATGCGAAGATTTCTGCGTCAGGACAAACAAAATTGATTGAGCTTGATTTGGAAAATCACACAACTGAAACTAATGTACTAATAAATTAATCAAAGAAACAATATGTGAAATTTTATTTGTATTCATATTTTATATAGAAATATTATCTTATTTTAACTACTTTAAAAAATGCATCAATTAATTTTAAAAATAGGCATCAAAACCACCAGGTAGCCTTCCATACACTAGACTAGTCCCTTGCATATTGCTATACCGAGATTTTATTCTTCAACCAACTCTTCAGAGAGGCATACATCTGAACAACGATACCACACGACGTACACACCACATTAATGCAGCGCATCAAAACATGAACAGGAAATTGTCGTTTTTTTCAGTCTAATATAATAATGCAGGACAACACAACGTATATCACAGTACCACGGATTTGACAATACTAGTTCTGATAATAAACAAAATTAGAGAGTTAAATTAATAGATATAAAATACAAATAAAATAAATATAAAAATCTTTAAAGCAACGAGCTTTTAAATGCACTGACTTCCTCTATACTCTGTATACAGGTAAAAATGTGTTAGGATATTTTGAAATAAAAATACGTTTGTATTTGTCAACAAAATGTTTACTTTTTCTTTAAGCAAAAACAACTCAAGTCATTCCTAAAATTGAACTTTAAATCAATTGTTTAAATAAGATTGAACTATTTCAGCAACAGGTAGTGTGGCTCAAGGTTTCTTCCAGACTTTTTTCTCCGGGGGGTGGGGGGGGGGGCACTTGAAATTTTCGGGGGGGGGGGGGGGGGAAGACTTTTTTCGGGGGGGGGGGACACTGTTAAAAGTATAGAATTTTCTATATAAATTTCATTTCGTTCGGGGGGTGGGGGTAGATTTTCTATACTCTGTATACAGGTAAAAATGTGTTAGGATATTTTGTAATAAAAATACTGGGGTCCACACAACCCCCCCCCCCCCCCCCCCCCCCCCCGAAAAGATGCCTGGAAGAAACTCTGGTGTGGCTACATTGGGTAATATACTATTTAAAAAATACAACCTATTTCGAATTTTGCCGACTCAATTTATGGATTATTTTGAATGCATAGGTGTCAGGGGCGAAACTACAGTGCCACAAGACCCCGCAATGCGGGGGGGGGGGAGGCCGTTTAGGGGCCCACAGCCGACCATGATCAATTTTTTTTTATAGTTAAAGAATAATTTTCTTGTAAAAAAACAAACAGATCTACTACAGTTGTGATGTACTACAGTAGCTAACAAACACTGTATCGTAAAGTTGTAGTGTGTAAGATAGGCAACCGTTCAAACAGCTTCCATGACTTCTTTCCCTTTTTTTAAACAGTCAAATACGTGTGTTCTTAAGAAACTTTAAATAAATTTGCACTAAAAAAATTTAAAAAATTAATTACATCTCTTAATTATTATTTTTTTAAATACATATTAAAGAATGAAATAGTAAAAAAGGAAACGTATTAAAAACTAATAATATAAATACAAAAAAACTTTAAATAAACATAAGGCAAGAAACCATTACACATACAAAGCTTTCTTTCTTCATATTCTTTTGACCGACTTGCTAATTAGGACACATTATGTCCAACATTGAAACAAAGAATTTCAAAACAGATTAATAGCACTTACACATTTTAAACAACAAACAACAACATATTCTATAAAAAAAAATAAAAAAAATAGCACTCACACATGATGTGTTGTTGCTTTAATTAAAATAAAAACTTAGAATTTTTAATTTTTCATATTTCGAACAAGCCCGAATATATATATATATATATATATATATATATATATATATATATATATATATATATATATATATACATATATATATATATATATATATATATATATATATATATATATATATATATATATATATATATATATATATATATATATATGGGGCCCAAAATTTTTGTTGCGGGGTGGCCCAATTTTTCTAGTTCCGCCACTGGCTATGTGATATTTAGGTAAACATTGGCGAGGTGATATTTAGGTAAAAAATTGTTAGATGACATTCCAGTTAACAACGACTAGTAGACACTTAGGTAGACGATGTCTGGATGACATTTAGATAAACATTGGTTATTGGACATTTCTGTTAACACTGGCTAGGTAGACAAATTTTGGTTGACATTTAGGTAAACGAACAAGTTAAAACCTTAGCTGGTGATAAATCTAAGTATCTACAACATCTGTGGCATACAATTTATTATCCGACTTGTCGACGTTTGAATGATGTTAATTTGTTGTATAGCTAGTAAGGTTTTCGATTAAATTAAGTAAATGATTTCTCTAGGCCACAGGTGCTTATACTTTTCGATGTGCACAATGCACTAATTTAACCATCTACCAAACATTTTCCAATGCATATTAGGTCTATTAATAAAACGAGAAATTAAAGCTAGTGTCCCTTTATTTCAAGCTATTCCGGCTATCTTACAAGACTCTTACAAGGTTTCCTTCCAGCCTGATAAAATCTGTAGGATGAATTCAGGGTCCTATAACAGTGAATACAGTGTATACAGTGAATGGGATAATAATAGGCAAGTCAAGTAGTAATAAATAAATATATATATATATGTATATATATATAGGCCTGTATCATCTAAACATGTTTTTTTTTGTGATCAAATAGATTCAACGATATAACATTTGAATATATGTGACTTTTCACAGCAAAGCAAGTGACTTTTTGACCCCGCACTGGGGTAAAATGTCACAATTCTAAATCACCATTTTGCAAGTCTGTCATGGGCATACCGTGAACAGCTATTTCAAACGGCTCTGCATACAGTTAGTAGTCGTCCATAAATGACGTCACACTCGTAGTGGGGGGGGGGGTCCGTAATTTTGTGAAGGTGTATGATGAGGGGGAGTGGGGGTTTCAGATGGTGCGACGTCACACATTTGCATTATAAAAAAGCAATGTTAGAAAACAAAATTTAGACTTTTTTTTTTGCGTTTTAGAATAATGTTTTAATAAATTGTAATAGGATAGGAATTGAATAAAATACTCTATATTTTGACAGAGCTCAGACAAGATTTAAGAAAAATATCGATGTTTAAAAAAAATTCAACTGCAATTTTGAGGGGGGGGGGGTTGTAGGCTGAAGTGTGACGTCATTTTAGGGGGGGGTCTGGCTTTTTGTGAAGACGTGTGACGGAGGGGAGGTGGGGGGAGGAAGTAAAAATCTTCCGAAAAAGCGTGACGTCATTTATGGATGACCCCTTATCTGAAATGTGGAACTAGCAACTGGTGCATTGGCATTGTTTAATGTTCACAATTCTTGTCTCTAGATCCTAAAAGTGACATTTGTCACTTTTCACTCCCTCCTCCCCTACATTGAATGTAAAAATATGGCGCCTTATTAAGCACTCGACGCTACCCGCAACCCCTCCCCCCCTACCTCACTAAAAATATAGGCCTACACATAGATGCTACATGATGTGCTGAGACCCTATATTATTTCCTGCCAATGAATTTAATCTATAAGTAAATTTTATAATTTAATTTATCAGTACACGCCAACAAAATTTGAAACATTTTTTAACCAATGTTGTGGGTTTATTCGCGTTTCTTATAGTGTTCCTTTTACAAGTTTTTGTTTTAAAGTTCGCAACGTCTGTTTGTTTGTTTGTGGGTTTGTGGCAAATCTTGTAACTCAATGTTGATCATCTTCTAATGCAGCGATTTTGTCCAAACTCTCCAGATACGTTTCACTTCGATCACAATTAATTTAATTAGTTGTTTAATTAATCATTAAAATTAATTAAAATGTTACGGCACTAAGGGGGGACAACAAAAAAATCACTCGATAGTTTACTAGCATTCATTAACAGAAGAGGAGATAGCTACCTCGAAGCAATCACCCTAGCAGTCTAGTGAGCTGTAGTTCACGAGAATGTTGACAATCTTATAGCCGGTTGATCTAGTGAAGGCTATTAGTATTAGGGTCAGGTAATCAAGCTTTTAAACTATTTGAAACTAAGCTAAATTAATAGCATGCTGTCGTCTCTAAAATTTGTTCATGCAGCAGATAATTGTCTTTCAGATATTACGTGCAGCTAATGGTGTTTTAATGCAAACATTTGTCGACTTCATACATGAGTAAACAACTAAAAGCTAGAAAATAATGCAACTATAAAAAAAACCTTTAAAGCGAAAAGCATTTAAATGAACTTAAAATAAGAGAATAAAACTAATTTACCTTGTTTTATACAAGGTTTGGCCGCTCATGAGATCTTTTACATAATTTAGCGACAAAAGCTTCTATTAAACAAAGCAAATTAGTTTTATATTCTTATTTTCAGTGCATTTAAAAGCTCGTTGCTTTAAAGATTTTTCTATATTTATATTTATTTGTATTTTATATCTATTAATTTAACTCTTTAATTGTATTTATTATCAGAACTAGTATTGTCAAATCCGTGGCACTGTGATATACGTTGTGTTCTCCTGCATTATTATATTAGACTGGAAAAAACGACAATTTCCTATTCATGTTTTGATGCGCTTCATTTATGTGTTATGTAAGTCGTGTGGTGTCGTTGTTCAGATGTATGCCTTTCTGAAGAGTTGGTTGAAGAATACAATCTCGGTATAGCATTATTGATGCAAGTAGTTAAAATAAGATAATATTTCTATAAAAAATATGAATACAAATAAAATTTCACATATTGTTTCTTTGATTAATTTATTAGTACATTATTTTCAGTTGTGTGATTATCCAAATCAAGCTCATTCAATTTTGTTTGTCTTGACGCAGGCTGCTTCGCATTTTTGTTTGCTGTAAAACCTATTCTCATTTCCGCCACAGCCGCCGTAGATAAATTTCTTGCACTCTCTGGATTCCTCGTCATAATAATAAGCCACAAATCTGGCTAAACAGATTCCTCCGTCCGGTGGAAGCGAGCAGATAGGGTCTAGAAATTTTTGAAGTGTGATCAATATGTTAAAATAATACGTGCATTTTGTATCATACATACAACCGAACTACAACAACAAAAACAAGAGAAACAATAATAGCTACAGCTTCACAACACGCAAGTCTATTCCGACGCCAACGCTCATACACACACACTAACACCAGCTCCTACACCCGCTCATTTCCACTCACACCCACACACGTAACCCCACACCAACCCACACCCCCAACATTACCACACACACACCAACACCAGCTCCTACACCCGCTCATTTCCACTCACACCCACACACGTAACCCCACACCCATCCACACCCTCAACATTACCACACATACACATTACCACACATACACACATACACACGCATATATATACACATACATGTACTCCTACAAGTACATGCACACGTACACGTGTATACGCATAAACGCACGCAGACATGACATAGAAACAGACACATACCAATGGGGTCACAGACAAACTCGCACTCCTTCCTGTGTCTGAAATTATTTTCATTCCCTCCACAGCCGCCGTAATAAAATTTTTCGCAGCGGCCCGATTCCATATCATAATAGTATCTGGGTAGTTTTGCCCTACACGGCCCTACAATCTTTTGTAGATGACAAATGTAACCTGTGGGAGATCACATTAAACAGAATTGTTGGCGGTGTTGTAGGGGGTACGGGGTGTAGATGGCTGGAATAACCCCTTCTCCCAATATATAGAACAGTGTGGTGGGCGGCTTGAACCCTTGAACCCCACCCACCTTGAGTTGGAGGTAATCACGCCTAACATTACAAATAAGTACGAAGAAGAGGAAGAATTGCTCTAAGTCGCATCCAACGAACGCGGGATTCAAATAAAATCGCTCGACTTACTGTTCTCTGGAATAGAATTTTTGACCAGCATTGCCATAAGACAGAGAATAAAAAGTTTAGGAGACATTTGATCTGGCAACTGCTGGAATATTTCTGGCTAGAGTCTGGGGTCTGATGTGTTGATGATGTATTGATGAATTCCTCAACTGGACTTGGTCTTGTGACGTGTTGAAATGCAAGTGTTTATATAGTGGGCGAGTGGTGGGCGATCAGCGGTGTGACTTTGTCATTATCAGATTAAGTAAGTCATTATCAGAGGCTTGACTAAGTTAGTCATTATCAGAGGTGTGACTAGCTAGGTTAGCTTTCGGCTGAACTGTATAAATGGACTCTCCTTGTGCTAAACTGTCTGAATGGACTCTACGAGTTTTGTTCCCTGTTTTAAGCACAACTACGATAACTAGTTTCTGTCTATAACGATAACTAGTTTCTGTCTATAACGATAACTAGTTTCTGTCTATAACGATAACTAGTTTCTGTCTATAACGATAACTAGTTTCTGTCTATAACGATAACTAGTTTCTGTCTATAACGATAACTAGTTTCTGTCAATAACGATAACAAGTTTCTGTCTATAACGATAACTAGTTTCTGTCTATAACCATAACTAGTTTCTGTCTATAACGATAACTAGTTTCTGTCTATAACCATTACTACTTTCTTTCTATAACGATACTTAGTTTCTGTCTATAACGATAACTAGTTTCTGTCTATAACGATAACTAGTTTCTGTCTATAACGATAACTAGTTTCTGACTATAACGATTACTAGTTTCTGTCTATAGTTTGATGCTTTCTTTAAATGATCAAAACATAATCTAATACGAACACATATCAATACTGTTTAACGTCTCAAATACTCAGTTTTCACTTAATATGCCTGTATAGCCAATTTTTTATTTATTTAATGGTTTGGTCCTCAGTTATGAAGATCTTTACAGTCGGAACAAGACATTCGTGTCGTTATTTGAACAGTTTGAGAATGTATGTGTTATAATCTTTATCAGACCAATAGACTGCTATGTCTGAATGAAAACGTTATTTGAACAGTTTGAGAATGTACGTGTTATTATATTTATCAGACCAATAGACTGCTATGTCTAAATGAAAATGTTATTTGAACAATTTGAGAATGTACGTGTTATTATATTTATCAGGCCAATAGACTTCTATGTCAGGAAACAAACTTTGTTTTCATTGGGGTTAAAAGAATTAAAAAAATAAACTGGCTTTATTGAGCGTGATTAAATGATGATGTTTCTGTGACATTTAGTTACACATTGGCTAAGTGACATTTAGTTCAAAAAATTGTTGGATGACATTTTGGTTAACAATGACTAGTGGACAGTGAAGTAGACAATGGCTATGTGTCTGTTCTGTTAACAACAGCTAGATCACATTTATTCAGACAAAGGCTAGGTGACATTAAGGTAAGCAATGACTAGGTAATATTTTGTTAAAAAATTGTCAGTTGACATTTTTGTTATGACTAGTTGACACCTAGATAAACATTGGTTATAGGACATTTCCGTTAACAGTGGCTGGATGACATTTAGGTTAGGTAGACATTTTTGGTTTTCGTTTAGGCAGACACACACCTTAGCTGGTGATACATCTAATTAGCCCCAACATCTGTGACATACAATTTAATAACGGACTCTTGAATGAAGTTAATTTGTTTTTTACATGCCCCACATGTAGGCATGCTGGAGTTGTGTTGCTGCCTTATGCCCCGACACATAGGCATTCTGGAGTTGTGTTGCTGCCTTATGCCCCACATGTAGGCATGGTGGAGTTGTGTTTTTGCCTTATGCCCCGACACAGAGGCATGGTGGAGTTGTCTTGCTGCCTTATGCCCCACATGTAGGAATGCTGGAGTTGTGTTGCTGCCTTGTGCCCCACATGTAGGCATGGTGGAGTTGTCTTGCTGCCTTATGCCCCACATGTAGGCATGGTGGAGTTGTGTTGCTGCCTTATGCCCCACATGTAGGCATGGTGGAGTTGTGTTTTTGCCTTATGCCCCACATGTAGGCATGGAGGAGTTGTGTTTTTGCTTTATGCCCCGACACATAGGCATGGTGGAGTTGTGTTGCTGCCTTATGCCCCGACACATAGGCGATTGAGCGATTTCCGACAACCGGAAGTGGTACTTTTTCTACTTTGAATTTTTCAAAAGCCTATAACTTGAGTACTATTTCAGATAGATAAATGAAATTTCACATGTAAGTAAAAGATCTAATTCTCTACCTTCTGTTAAATTTTGAGTAATTTCCGTTGACCGGAAGTAGTAATTTACGCTACTTCCGATTTCTCAAAAAACTAATGTAAATTTTTAAAGTACTAATAATATTGCGCACTATTATGCGTTTTTTATTTAGCGTTCACTTGGTGTGCAATTAATTTGTCTACGAGATTTTATTCTATTTTTAAAACTTTAAGTATTTAAAATGGATTAAAAATCATTTCTATAGCCCGAGTTCCCATCCCCTGTTATTTTATATAAGAATATTCGAGAAAGTTTAGGGGAGATCACTCCCGGTTTATTTAAATTTATTTTGATGTTTGCAATCGTGTAAAGATGTAAAGTAAAGTTTCGCTTTTACACCTGACGGTCTATGGGGCAAGTGAAGTAGAGTTCACTTGTTTATGTGATCTCTCAGCGCTATGCCCAGCCGCCTTAGCTTTCCCTAACGTGAGTTAGGTACCCATCAGAGTTAGGTGGACTCATGGACGGTCTATACTGACTTCAACCCGGATTCGAACTCGAGACTTTCGGGTTATCAGTCCAGCTCTCTGCCGCTAGACCCATCTGTTAAGAAAATCTCTGTTTAAATCTGTTTTTTTTAATAATGCTTCCTGTAAGTAAGTAGGTCAAAAGAATATGAAGCATGAATATTTGAAAGCTTTGTTTGTAATGGTTTCTTGCGTTATGTTTATGTATTTTTTTGGTATTTATATTATTAAAATTTAAATACATTTCATTTTTATGCTTTGTCATTCTTTATTATTTTTTTTTAAATAATAATTAAGAGAAGTAATTGTTCTTTAATTTGTTTTGTGCAAATCTATTAAAAGGTGTTGAAGAGCACACATATTTGACTATTTAAAAAAGGGAGATAAGTCATCGAAGTGGTTAGAACGTTTACCAATCTGTGTGTTTGATTGTAGGAGAAAGAGGACTCGGGATGTTGTCTATAGAATAAAGATAATGAAACCGCAGCTAAAGTATTCTTTTTACAAAACACAACCATCAAGTCAAAAATGCAAGTAAATTATTTTTTTTAGCTGTAAAAAAATTGATTATGGTCGGCTGCGGGCCCCTAAACGGCCCGGGCCACCCCGCATTGCGGGGTCTGGCGGCACTGTAGTTCCGCCCCTGCACATAGCCAATGTTTACCTAAATGTCCCCTAGTCATTGTTAACCAAAATGTTATCTAATAATTTTTTAATGAAATGTCATCTAGCTAATCCCAATATATAAAAGCCCATGTGCGCACTTCTCTCTCTCTCTTTCTCTGTCCGCAATATATTTTCGCTAGCCATCACATCAGAATCTTTAGCGATATATGGAGAACTTGATACAGACTTTTTTTAAAAAAATAATATGTTATTTGTTTTAAATGTATAAAAACACTGTTATTTAAAGAAGAAAAATAAAAAAAATAAAGGCATATTCGAATGTAGAAAAAACAGTTTTAATTATACAACCGGAAAAGTGTTTATAGTTGGGACAAGAACGCCGAAATCGATGACGTCTCATGTCATGTTTGAAGTACGGAATGTACACAAAACCAACGGCGTCATCTTCCAATTTTAGAATACGAAGAAATAAACTATTTCATTAAAATTTGATTTAGACCTATAGATTTACTTATCGAGACGTAATGTTTGAAATGTATACAATTTCCTCGGCCAAAACTGATACAAGTTACTTTAAAAAAAAAACAACATAAATACCATTGAAAAGCCGAGTTTTTAACGGAGTTATTTAAGTCTTTTAATCAATGTGTGCATTTAATATTGTGTTATGTTGACTAATTATGTATATAATTTGGTTTTATTTTTTCTAATAGGCATTAGTAGCCTATGTTATTTTAAATGTGTCGGACATAGGTATTTAGTTATCTCTTTGCTTTTTCACTAATATTAATATCGTTAAACCTGTAAGAAATCACGTTGCATTTTGACCAATAACTATTTTATAAAATATTCTTCTAAAAATGTATACCATTAAAAATATATAGACCGATAATTCACGTGTAACGGGTACCAACGGCTAGTGTTTACCTAAATGTCACCAAGACACCATTTAACCCATATTCTGCTAGCGTCCCACTTATGGGACGCTTATAAAAAAAATTGCGAAAATTTATTAAAAACTAGTTAAAACACAAATTATGTTTCATTGTATTTGAAAATGGTTAGACTATTGAATTTGTGTGTGCTTTGTGAAAAAAATTAATTTAGAAAAATGTTATAGTGCCGGATTTGCAGGACTTGTCAAAATGTCGGAAAAAAAAGAAAACATGCGCACAGGAAAATGCATATCTTCTAAAATATTAACATTTTAAGTGCAAAATACATTTGAAACTTGTAGCAGTACCATATTTCTATCTGATAAAAATTTAAGAATAACAGGTTTTTTTTTTACTACTTCGTTATATCAAGTGTACAACAAGCGTCCCATAAGTGGGACGCTAGCAACGAATGGCCCCATGTAGATTGTTACACAAACGTCACATTTATTGGACACTAGCGAGAAAGACAGATGCAAATATTTATGTTAAATGGTTATTTATGGTGAAACAATTGTTGACTTTTTTAACTGTTGACTTTGGGATGTTAAGTGGTATTTATAGATATTTAATTATAACCTTGACCTATATTTATGCAGATTGTTACACAAACGGCACATTTATTGGACACTAGCGAGAAAGACAGATGCAAATATTTATGTTAAATTGTTATTTATGGTGAAACAATTGTTGACTTTGTTAACTGTTGACTTTGGGGTGTTAAGTAGTATTTATAGATATTTAATTATGACCTTGAGCTATATTTTCTTATATATTATTGTATTAAAAAATTGCAAATATTGAAAAACTTACATTTTATTTTTAAGTTTTCAGAATTTAACCTACTGAAGTATTTAATACCATTGAATACAAACTAATTTAGTGTTGCTGTAAATTTACTAGCGCATGATATTAAAATTATAACAAACCAGAATAATAAAAATGGCCGCCATTTAGGTGAAATGATTCAGTTGAAAACTTATATAAGTGTTGGAACTTAATAAAAACAGCAAACGGACTTATTGTTAAAGTTATGGCCGACAGAAAATTAGCTTTAGAACGCGTTAAACTTTTGAATGGGCCACAAAGTCTATGATGGAAGCCGCCAATTATATTGTAATAAAAAGTAAACAAAACTTGTGACGTCACTATTCAGTAAAAGAAAGCCATTGTTCTAATACTTTAAAATTAATGTGGTTAATCTACCTATGAATAAATCAATAAATTAATTAACATCTTTAAATAAATTTGTGATTAACAGTCTGTCTGAAAAAAAAAAAAATTCTCTACCTACATACTATTTTACAGCTCTCCACATAGAGTAGAACCATTTACAATAGTCAATCAGACAAATAAATATTCATGTAAACAAACTTGAGTTTTAGCAGTAAATAGATAGATAGATAGATGTCTGTTAATGCCAATTTTTTTATTTTTTTTATTTTTTATTTAATGGTTTGGTCCTCAGTTATGAAGATTTTTACATTCGGAACAAGACATTTGTGTCGTTATTTGAACAGTTTGAGAATGTATGTGTTATAATCTTTATCAGACCAATAGACTGCTATGCCTGAAAGAAAACGTTATTTGAACAGTTTGAGAATGTATGTGTTATCATCTTTATCAGACCAATAAACTGCTATGTCTAAAATACTTTGTTTTCATTACGGTTGAAATGATTTAAAAAATTAAACTAGTTTTATTGAGTGTGACACCCATATTATCCCAAGGTCTCAAATTTTTATAATTTTTTTATATGGTTTAGCTTTTGGGCACTGAATGAAGGAATGACTATGGATTTTTTTTTTAAATCAATACTTTTTTAAATATCGATTTTTTAAAAAAACGTCCCATAAATGGGACGCTAGCAACGAACGGCCCCATGTACATTTATTGAAAAATAAAATCATTTTTCACGAAATATGGCTAATCACGCGAAAATTAAGCTGTAATCTGATTTTGTATTGTTAGACCAATGATTACATTGTTTAGGACAGCTAAAAATACTGATAATGATCATTTGGGTTAGCCATACCATGGTCTAAAATGCAGAAATTATGTTCAAAAATCTAGTTTTCTTTCAATCTAGCATCCATCAAAGTGAACAACACTTGGAAATAAGTAAAGCTGTGACTGGTACATCTAATTATACACACACGATCACAAATATTGTTATTATTCATCGAAACTGTAATATAAATAAATATAAACAATTGATTTTTTAGGGGGCGTACTTGAAATTTTCAGCGGGGGGGGGGGGAGCTTACATTTCAGGGGAAGGGTGGACATTGGTAAAAGTATGTTTTGTATATAAAATCCATTTTATTCTGGGGGCAGAGCCGAAATGATGCCTGAAAGAAACTCTGCCCTTGTTCCGAATGTAAAAATCTTCATAACTGAGGACCAAACCATTAAATAAAAAATAAAAAAAATAAAAAAATTGGCATTAACAGACATCTATCTATCTATCTATTTACTGCTAAAACTCAAGTTTGTTTACATGAATATTTATTTGTCTGATTGACTATTGTAAATGGTTCTACTCTATGTGGAGAGCTGTAAAATAGTATGTAGGTAGAGAATTTTTTTTTTTTCAGACAGACTGTTAATCACAAATTTATTTAAAGATGTTAATTAATTTATTGATTTATTCATAGGTAGATTAACCACATTAATTTTAAAGTATTAGAACAATGGCTTTCTTTTACTGAATAGTGACGTCACAAGTTTTGTTTACTTTTTATTACAATATAATTGGCGGCTTCCATCATAGACTTTGTGGCCCATTCAAAAGTTTAACGCGTTCTAAAGCTAATTTTCTGTCGGCCATAACTTTAACAATAAGTCCGTTTGCTGTTTTTATTAAGTTCCAACACTTATATAAGTTTTCAACTTCTTCATTTAGTTTTACAATAAATTTCTCTAGCTCTACAATCTGTCCAAGAAAGCTATTTATAGATCTAAAAATATCAGGTGGCCAAGCAAGTTATTTATAGATCTAGATCTAGAACCTAGGTCACAGAGTTTCTTCCAGGCATCTCTTCGGGGGGGCTTAGCCCCCCCCCCCCCCCCCGAAAAAATTTTTACCGCCCCCCCCCCCCCCGAACGAAATGAAATTTATATAATTTATATAGAAAATATATACTTTTAACAGTGTCCGCCCCCCCCCCGAAGAAAGTTTACCGCCCCCCCCCCCCCCGAAGATTTCAAGTGCCCCCCCGGAGAAAAAAGTCTGGAAGAAACACTGCTAGGTCAAACCAAAGATTAATTAGATACATACAAACGATTAATTAGATAAAAATACAATCCATTTTATAATCATAATACATTTTTTAGTCCTTAAATACTTGATATAAATCTTTGTGATTTATCTATCTAGATCTAGACCTTCTCTAGCTAGAATAGGTCTAATGATTAGATCTAGATTCTATATCTAGCAAGAGTTACGCAAAAACTAGACTTAAGACTTAAGCAAACGAGTCGTAGAGTCTAGATCTAGATAATTCTATCTAGATCTAGATAATTTCAAACCTTCATTATTTTATATAAATCTTTGTTTGGTTAATTTAAGATAAAATGTAATTTGAAAGTTACTACTACTAGACTTAGATCTAGATCTATGCGCGTAAACCAAGTTGCATAAGAAGACTCAAAGTATTAATCTATAGTATTCTATAGTATACAAAAAAACAGGCGGGTGGCACAGGTTCTAGACCAATACGTCAATGATAATTTTTTTTTCAATTTTAATTTTTTTTTTTTAGATGTGGATGATAAAGTTGCCTATCTGAACTTGGCGGGATACAGGGCAGGTGAAGTAGAGTTAATCTGTTTCTTTATATAAATCTTTGTTTAGCTAATTTAAGATAAAATTTAATTTGAAAGTTACTACTACTAGACTTATATCTAGATCTATGCGCGTAAATCAAGTTGCATAAGGAGACTCAAACTCTGAACTTGACGGGGTACAGGTCAGGTGAAGTAGAGTTAATCTGTTTCTTTGTCCTAAGCATATGAAGGGATAGTGTTGTCAGAGACAGGCTCGGCTGGAATCGTTTTTTTAAACGATAAAAACATGTTGTCTGAGACTTGGCGGGAAACTGGGCAGGTGAAGTAGAGTTGAGTAGGTCACCTGTGACGCCAGTATATGAAGGGATAGTCCGAAATCGGTGTTTTCGGTGTTTTTAAAAGATAAAACACTTCTTTTTGAATGTAAGGTCTGTTTTTTTGTGACAATAAATGACAGACGTGATGTTTTTTTATGGATGACCCCCGAAACCCACAGTTATCCAACGGATGACGGGTAGTCTAGTATTAAGTGAAAACTGAGTATTTCAGACGTTAAACAGTATAGATATGTGTTCGTATTAGATTATGTATTGATCAGTTAAAGAAAGCATCAATCTATAGACAGAAACTAGTTATCGTACTGGTGCTAAAAACGGGCAACAAAACTCGTAGTGTCCATTCAGACAGTTTAGCACAAGGAGAGTCCATATTGACAGTTTAGCCCAATGACTAATCTAGCTAGTCACACCTCTGATAATGACTAACTTAGTCACGCCTCTGATAATGACTAACTTAGTCACGCCTCTGATAATGACTTACTTAATCTGATAATGACAAAGTCACACCGCTGATCGCCCACCACTCGCCCACTATATAAACACTTGCATTTCAACACGTCACAAGACCAAGTCCAGTTGAGGAATTCATCAATACATCATCAACACATCAGACCCCAGACTCTAGCCAGAAATATTCCAGCAGTTGCCAGATCAAATGTCTCCTAAACTTTTTATTCTCTGCGTCATGGCAATGCTGGTCAAAAAATTCTATTCCACTGGAAAGTAAGTCGAGCGATTTTATTTGAATCATTGAGTTCGTTTTATGAGACTTAGAGCATTTCTTCCTCTTCTTCGTACTCATTTGTAATGTTAGACGGGATAACCTCAATTAACTCACTTAACTGATCAATGTGTGGGGGTGGGGGCAGAGTGGTTGGGGTTCCTGCCAGTTATACACAGCTAACTCTGATCTATATTGGTGTGTGCGTCTGAGGGGGGGGGGGGGGGTTTCCAAATAGAAATACACCGCCCACAGCTATTTTCATATTGGTTGGAGTTCTGGCCAGTTACCCAGCGCCCACAACTATCTATATATATAATTCTCTTCTTGGAGACGTTAGAAAACAAGCTGTAAGCGCGCCTTGCAACTCCTCTCTTCCTCTCTAGGCATATTGCAACCACCCCCACCCCCACATGGTCTGGGGCGCTGTAGTTCACGCTAAATGTTTACAATCGTAGAGCCGGGTTTAGTGATGGGTATTAGGGGCAGATAATGTAGTTTGAAACTATTTTAAACTTAAGGGAGGTAACTAAGAGGAGGCTGCTTTCACGGGGATGGGAGAAAGGACGGTTTTAATGTTTTAAAGCAAATATTTTCAGTGACAGCAGTGGTACTGTCGAATTCACAAATTCTGAATTACTGAAAAGTAGAAAAAAACAAGAACTAATCACCGCGGGTCGTCCACAACTATTTTCTATGTTGGTGGGAGTTCTAGCCAGTTACCCACCGCCCACAACTATTTTCTATATTGGTGGGAGTTCTAGCCAGTTACCCACCGCCCACAACTATTTTCTATATCGGTGGGAGTTCTAGCCAGTTACCCATCGCCCACAACTATTTTCTATATCGGTGGGAGTTCTAACCAGTTACCCACCGCCTACAACAATTTTCTATATTGGTGGGAGTTCTAGCCACACACCTCTGTTTTCTGTGATCGACCACAGATTGCAACAGGTGCCAGCTACAAAGGGTGACGGGGACGTGTAATGCTGCCGTGACCAGATACTACTACAATGTCGAGTCACGGAGCTGTCAAGAGTTTACCTACAGCGGCTGTGAAGGGAATGAAAAATAAATTCGTAACCAAGACGGAATGCGAGATTGCCTGCGACATTGGTATGTATCTTTCTCTGTGTCTATTTCTATTTCTATGTCCATGACTAATGTCTATGTGTTTCGTATGTGTACACACGTGTACGTGTAACTAATTGTGTGTATGTGTGTGTATGTGTGTATTTTTGTTTCCATGTGTTTGCGCATTTGTATATGCGTGTAAGTGGGGGTGTGGGATTGTGTGGGTGCGAGTGTTGTATAGCTGTTACTGTTATTGTTTTTCTTGTTCTTGTTGTTATATATATATATATATATATATAATATATTCTATATATATATATATATATATATATATATATATAAATTACATGTTGATAAAGAACGCATAAGTAGGCCCGTCTAAATGCGTAAATGTATAATACAATATGCAAATGAATATTACTTATCCTGTATTAATCATCCTTCATCCATTTCTAGACCCTGCTTGCTTGTTACCCCCCGAAACCAGGCCGGTGTTCAGTACCCATGGAACCTTTGGAATTTTTTTATTATGACCCCGAGTCCGAAACCTGCAAAAAGTTTTTGTACAGCGGCTGTGGCGGAAATGACCACATGTTCAGCTTCCAAGGATGCTATGAAAATTGCATAAAAAGGAGTACCAGAAGAAGAAGTGTGAGCTGGATTTAGAAAATCTTACTTACTGAAAAAAAGTTAAAATAAATCAATCAAAGAAACAATGTGATTTTTTTTATTCGTATGTTTTTAAACAAAATTGTTAACACACACACACCATACACACACACACACACACACACATATATATATATATATATATATATATATATATACTATATATATATATATATATATATATATATATCTATATATATATATATATATACACACTAGCTAATTCTCCGCCACGGTGAATCGTTTTAAATGTACCAACTTAAGAACAGAACAAAACTAAACACAAACACACAAGAAAAAAACAAACAAAAACACAAACACAACACAAACACAAAACAAACACAACTAAACACAAATAAACATTCTCACACAACTTCAAGAACATTAGTGTGAGCCCAGATGATCAGCACGAAGATATGCCAACAAACATAGTGTTTTAAATTACACAGTCAGAATCATAGCTGTTCAAACAACTCAAACTGTGTGAATGTTTTTTTTTTTAATTACCAGTAAAGAGTTGCGTGAGCAATAGTGATCTAACACAAACTTATCAATAATCCTTATGTTAAAAATATATAAAAATTTTATGGGAAAATTATTTATAAAAAATGTCTGCATCATACGCTTTCTTTTATGTGTTGTTTTATAGCTCCTTGATAATTACTATTATGGTAAAAAAAAATTATGTGTGTATGTATAATAGTTTTTATTTTGGCAAATTTTTTCGTCAATTTTCAAATGTCTGGGTGATACTACCCTTTAAGAAACACAAAAAGCAGTAGATATTGAAAAACGTGAAGAACTAATAAAGTGTTATGTAAGACCAATAATTTAGTTAAAAATAGTTGTTTATTACTGTAGACATTAACTAGGTCTGTATTATAATATCAACTTAAATTTTGACGATTATATATCAACTACTCCTTTACAAACTTACTTTAAGCTGTATCATTTTATCATTTATGATTAAAATATAATTAATTCTGATTGTAGATTGCATTTGTTTTGTAAAAACGAATGGTAATAAGGAATTATATTGAACGAGCCGACCCGCGGCGTATCATACGCCGCTATTTAGTTGTTTTATTTTCTATTTTTCAGTAATTCATAATTTGTGAATTCGACAGTATTACTGCTCAGTGGCGTAGCGAGGTCGGGTGTCACTTAATGGTGTCACCCCCCCCCCTCCCCTCAGAGGGCGTAACGACCCTTCCCGGGGACAAACTTTCCAATTTTCAATTTGCACCCCCCCCTCCCCTGCAAACTTTCGATTGGCAACCCCCCCTCAAACTTTCGATTTACACCCCCCCTCAAACAAACTTTCGATGTGCACCCCCCTCAAACTTTCGATTTACACCCCCTAATTCTTTCGATTTGCACCTCTTAAAAGACTATTTAACACTCGGAATTAATCACTTAATTAAGTTTAATTATCATTTTTCTCTCTCTCTATTTTTTTGCCTTGGTGTCACCCCCCTAAATGGTGTCCACCCGTGCGGTCCG